TTTGAATTTCTACTTTAATTCACAAATTTAACAGCATCAAAGATTCTGATCTGAAAAGAACATTGTTTTCCCTCCCAAAAACTCTGTGCCTTTGTCATCACACTGCCATCCCTTCTTTCAGCAATTCTACTCTAACAGCCATTGTTGCTGAGCAAGTTGTTCACCTGTTGGGAGACAAAACCAAATCAAAAGATTTTGCCGGCCTCAGGTCTCTACTGCCTACAGGAGGAGTTCTTTCGTTGACCTTGCACTGTCTACACTGGGGGCAAAGTCGGCATAGTTATGTCTCTCGGGACTGTGGATTTTTCGCACCCCCGGAGAGATGTAGCTACTCTGATATAAGTTCCCAGTGCAGACCGCTTCACTGAGGTACTTTCCATCTGGCCTTAGAGGTGAAACTTCATCTTTTTAAACAACTTTTTAACATATGTTTAGACTTCACTTATAAATGCTTTTGTTTTAGAATGTGTGCAAGATATCGTTTCCTTCTTTACTTATCTGGCAAGACACAACCATGGTCAGGAGCATGGGTTTCCCATGACATAACTAAGGCCATAACAAACCCCCAAAACAGAGCTGGAAGGATCTGGGGGGAATAAGAGCGGTAAAGTCATCTTACAGCTCTTGCTCCCTGCTTTGCCATGGTCTAGTGCTGTAACTAGCTATTGGATATAAAGTCAGCCTAAAAGGTTTTTTCAGAGGTTCTGCTCGTTCGAAATTCATGTCTTGTCCAGCCTGTTTTTCCTGGAAGCCGATGAACAACTGGTTGGATAACATCAGATACCAAAACAGAAACCTGACTAACTACTGAGAGGTGAAGAAGTTATTATATTTGGACTGTTTAAAATTGTTTTGTTTACACCTATTTAAAAAGGGACATTTCAACTTAATTACAAAGATCTGAAATTCTTATTTACTTGCTATTGTTAAAAGTAACTTCTAAGAATCCCATAAGAGAGCACAGAAATGGTGCTGTCAAATAGGGAACCTATGTTATCAGTTTTCCTGATTGTGTGGGTAAATATTTTATATTTAAACATGACACTTTAAGACCACAAACCTTAGCAGGGGGACTCAAGGACAAGTGTAGCCTCAAATTATTTTTAATTCATGTTTTTTTCAAAAACAAGCCCGAGTAGATTTCAAGTTGACAATGTCCCTTTAACTCTAATGCCTGAATAATAATTTGTAGAATGGGTAATTCTGTTAAAGATCCAATACCCCATTCCCTTCAGTTAAGAATTGAGAGCGCTCCCAAACCAGAGGTGAGTGCCACCAAAACAGAGAGGACTAGACTTGACATTCCTAATATTTCTAAAATTAAACAGAAACATTTACATTTTAAAGCTTTCTTTATGCATCACAACCCCAACTCCTCTCTCTTCAGTTCACCTTTAGCATCAGACAAATAATTGGAGTCATTTTCAGAAGGAGAAGTATTTGGTGCTTACAGCGTAAGGTAGCTCTGATGTGGACACCACCACAATATTGGGCAGGAACTGGTCTGAGTCACAGTATTCTGTTTCTGCATTGCCAGTGTCAAGGGAGACGCCCCTCCTCTGTATGATGGCTGCTAAGGGCAAGGGGGCTTGGAAATGGCTATAACATGCAAATAAAATGTTTCTGTGATTGCTAGAGAAGGTTTCTGAACTATGTACTGGACAGAACAAGCATGTTTTTTGGGTATTGCTGGTGCAGTTACAGTCTTTCAGGAATAAACAATGTCTATATTGAATGCTTTACAGATTAAAGCTAACTGCCTCAGAAAAACACATGTGGCACAGGCCATAAAGGAAGTAGTAAGCAGACACTCCAGAGGTACGGCTGCATTTGCAAGAGATCCAAGTCTATTGGCCTCCTCTCAGCCTAGGACAATGGAGTTCTCAGACATTGTGGCAGCAATAAACTAAGCCTCATCAAGGAGGAAAGACACTGCTTTGCTGCTGCCTTTCTAATTCTGACCCCTGACAACCGATCCATGGACTAGTGTTGACTCTGAAAGAAGCCACCGGCTCCCCAAACACAGCACCAAATCCACTCACCTTCTAGAAAAGCTGGAGGAAGAATAAGGGAAATCAAACTGCCCTCTCCAAAATAAAGCACTGGGGGAATCAAACATAGCAAGGGCAAAGCCTAGAGGAAGATGGGGATGCCTTCTTACCAAAACACTATTCACAAGTGCGTGCTTTTGAGAACAATTCCATATGAGCAGCATTCCCACCGCTGACCTTTTCTTCAGCCAAGACTTCCAAAACGTGCTGGTTTGTCTTTGCTCCCAGACGAGTTTTGCTGTTGTACCAGTTTGTGTGGAGCTGCATGGTGCAGCCCGGCAGATCAACTGGCACCGTTTGGGTGATGTTACTCAGAGGAACGAGCAGTGCATCCCTGTGGCCATGTCTGCAGCTGCCCTGCACAACCTGCCTCAGACAAGACAGTCAGAGTTACAGTATTTAAGAACCTAGTCTCATTAATATTATATTATAAGCAAACAGAATTGATAATTTCACTCAAGCTGGTTGTTTACTAAGCCTAACATAGCTCAGGGGCATGAGACCCTAACAGAAAGGGTCACCATATGCTGCAATGCCCAGGAGGGAAGATGCCAGATGGCCACCTTGGAGACCAAAGGCTTCTGTTTATCCAGTGCAGTGAAAACTCTTCCTCACTACCCCAGTGATTCATCCCGGGCATAGAAAGGACCGTTTCTACACGAAAAGGGGACTCAAGCCCTCTGGCCAATAAGTCTTTGGCTATGTTGGCTGCCAACAAGAGTGCCAATTTTAAGGGTGTCTTCTAGGAAGTGAACAAGACCACCAACTAACGACAGATAGCGGCAACTTTAAATTGCTACCACTGACCTGGGAAGAGGACCAAACCTCTTCAGGCTAGCCCAGCCACTTCAGTCGCTTCAATAACAAGAAGTGAAAGCTTCCACTCCCCATTCACAATTCTTTATACCACCTAGACTTTGGCATTTCCAGTCATTTCAGCTAATGTTACATCATGAACTACAAGGTAGTACAACTACATTACTATAAGGTATTTCCCTCCAACCTCAATTAATATCACAAGGCCCTGGACGGCATGATACACAGTCAGCGAAAATAGAGAGTGGGTTGTGAACCCTGATGGCAGACTATCTAGAGAGAGTGGGTGTTTGGTTACTGAGATCAAGAGGGTGCACTGATCGAGACCCACAGAAGGTACCATGCGTCAGGCCCACAGCTCTGTCCAGCACACACTGCTAAATCAGTTGCCAATGACAGAGCAGCTCTTCCAAAGAGAAGCCTACAGAAGCCTCCATCTTGCCGTATTGCCAGCTGGTGTTGCTATGGCTTCAGCATACAGAAACAAACAGAATTAAATGAATTAGACAGAATATTTGATGGGCTTACACCTCCAACAAAAAACACTGCAACACTGCATTTAGAGACATCATGAATATTACCCCTACCCTTAGCCACCAACAAAAGGCTATGAAGGACCCCCTAAATACCTTGCTCAGGATTGCATTACAAACCTGCAGTTCCTCTACGCGGCACTCCATCAAACCATACTGAAATCGCCATGACTTATTTCAACTGGCTAAAAAACCTCTTTGAAGTAGTGCATGACTAGTGTTATTTATAAACTTATCTGCAACAGGAAATATTCTATAGCGTGAATCCCCTTTGACAATGAAATAAAACAGGCAGCCACAACAAAGCAAGCTACCAGCCAAGAAAACCCAGATTCTGGTTCTGCCCCTAGCTATCCCCATCTCCAGCCAGGTGGGAGGAACGGATTTTGATAGAGGATGGGTTCAGACTTCTGAAAGATATGGGGAGGGAAACAGGCTAGCCCAGCCACTTCAGTCGCTTCTACCTTCCTCTGCTGACAAAACTACTTAGCATTCTGAGGAGGCACCTTGTGATTCTGGCCTGTGCCATGCTGCAATCCTCTTTCCAGGAAGGAAGATGGGACAGGCTCCAGTTTAAACAAAACAATCAAACCCTACAGATTATTTCATATTAAATCAATAGCATAACCCGCTATATTCTATAGGTTTCATCCTGATAGTTTAAATATGCACATACAGTATATCCATATTCCCTATCCATTTAGTTACCCACGTGCTGTCAAATGCTTTATTCTCCTTCCTAAAATGCACGCTCTGAAACCATTACTGCAGACTACACAGAAAACAACCACCCAGGCCTGAATAAATCAGATCTTTCCATCTGGGAAATTCCCCTGTTACGAGGATTTTGCTGCTTTCCTCGGACTCTGTATTGCAAAATTAGCCACAAAAAACAAACACTACCCACAGCAAAACTACACCCACCCTGAAGAGCCAGCAAAGCTTTCTGGCTGCCATCCCCTGCTAAGGGCGGTATTGATCAGAGAGGATGGAGATGAAGTTACCATCCATCATAGGGGATGAGACAGTCTTCCTCCCCACCCCACCGCCCAGGGCTGTATCTCTGGGTAGGCTGTCACCCCCACCCCCGAAAAAGCATCCAAAGCAACACGCAGCCGGGTGACACACCACGATGCCCCCACACAGCCCAGGGGCACCAGCCCAGTAGAGGTGTTTTTTCCCCAGCGCACACACTTTGCACAAGTGCTAAAGCCCTGCCGCCCCCCCCCCGGCAACCCCACTCCCCCCAGGTGGGCAGGCAAACCCCCTGCGCCCCTCAGATACACAACCCACCTCCCAGGCAGCCCCTCCCATCTCCCCAGCAACTCCCCCCCAGGCAGCCTCCTCACACACACAAATCCCCCCCCCAGGCAGCCCCTCCCGTCTCCCCAGCAACCCCCCGCCCAGACAGGCCGCCCCCTCAGATTGGCACCCCCTCCCAGGCAGGCCCCTCAGACACACAAATCCCCCCCCCCCCAAGGCAGGCCGCCCCCCCCAGGCAGGCCCCTCAGACACACAAATCCCCCCCGCCGGCAGCGGCGGCCTGTGGGCCGGAGCCAGCAGGGCGGTTGTCCCCGCGCGGCGGGGCCGGGCCGCTCACCGCGATCACGTTGACGAAGGTGGTCTTGCCCGAGTACTGCAGCCCCACCAGGGTGAGCTCCATCTCCTCCTTCCAGAACAGCGCCCGGAACCAGTCCAGCAGCTTGGTAAACAGCGCCAGCATGCTGCCCCCTGCGCCGCCCGCCGCCCGGCTCCGCTCCGCTCGGCTCGCTCTGGGTGGGGCCGCTCCGCGCGCCTCCGGCCCGGCCCGGCCCAGGGAGGAGACTCCGGGCCCCACCGCCCCCTGCCGGCCAGGAGGCCCCGCTGCGCGCAGGCGGCCGGGCTACGTCCCCCAGCCCAGCCCCCCCCCCCCCCCATAACTGTCCGGGCCCCCCCCCCCCCCCCCCACACACACACACACAGTGACCCAAGGTCTAACTCCTTCCCCACATAGCTTGGGCCTACCCCGCTTCAGTTAACTAAGCTTTGCTTACAGAAGATGTCACTATATTGCCTTTAGTTAAGGTGCCCAGTGTCCTCCAGGGCTTGGGCTCTGATGCATTACAGCCTAGCAGCCTTATTAAATGAGAATCTCTGCACAGGTAACCGAAGAGGTGAGTTGGCTGTTGAATATCAGCTGTATGACTCGCCCCACCTAAGCCAACCTCCCTGAGGAAATAAAAGGAGAAAGCATTTAAACGGGCTGGGGCCTCTGAGTTAGTAACTTCAGCCCTCCTCAGTCTCAGCGTGTGTCAATTTCTGCAGAGGGATCAGACCTGTCTGAGCTGATTTTAGTTTAGTTTTATTAGCTGCCCAGTCAGGCAGCAGTAAGAGGTGATCCATTTCCACAGTGCCTCTAATGACTAAGGCAAAGGGACTGGGAGTCAGACTTGGCTTGTATTCCCACTGTCTGCCTGTGTGACCTGGGGCAAGTCATTTCCCTCTGCCTCATTTTCCCCATCTGTAAAGTGCTTTGAGATCTATGGATGAAAAACTAGAGCTATCTAGAACTATAAGAGCTAAGACCAAGATGATTTGAGACACTTCAGAGGGGCCTGGTTTTCAGAGAGTGGGTGCTCAAAACCACCCCACCCCTTGTAACACTGAAATGGAGGCACCCAAATCTCCAGTCAGTTTTGGGAAATTGAGCCAGGTATTTATTACCCCCCTACAAGGCTGTGGGATGTTAAACTACTTCTGCAATCCATATCAGTGTGGGGAGTGATCTCAGTAATCTCTCTGCTGTACTTCATAAGGGTGTTGTGATTCTGAGCACTTTGCAAACCATTCAGTGAACCTCAATGCAAGGTGCTAGAGAAGTGCAGACTTTGTCACTTAGCTTTCATATAGTAACAACCTTGGCTCACACTTAGGCTGAATTTGAGCTGATCCCTGAGAGACTATCTCCTTACACTATTCTGAGCCCACAAGGGGCATGTAAGATGAACAGGAATCATTTGAGCAGAAGCTCCTTTACTACTGAAAGACAAGTGTGTAGGCACTGAAGGTAAAGAAATGTAGTTGTCAGTATTTGCATCACAGTGCAGATTCTAAAGTGCCTGCTATAGTTAAAGGTTAAAAACAATTTCCATTATGTAGTGTCAGTCACTATGAAGCTGCTTTTGTTTTCTGAGACAACAGCCATTTTGTTTTCAGAATTGCTGCAGCCAGTGAAAGGAGGAAATTCCTGCTCTCTTTCATGGAGACTTTAAAGAAGTAATTTTGGGCTGAAAGCATAGGATTGCTTTTTTGACTACAACACTGTAGCTCCTTCGCATGCTATGGAAAATGCCACACATTTTGGCCAAAGTTTCCCAGTGAGAGTTTCTGCCTGAAGAGGAACTTATTTTTGGAAGGAGTTAGAAAAGATTTTGCTCACCTCTTAAATGAGCATGTGCAGCATAGGGTCCATCTCTGTACCAAATTTCAGATTCCATACCCCAAATCACAATGATGTTAGGTAAAAAGCAAGTCCTTACTCACCTCTCCAGCACCCGAGTTCGTGCGGAGTTGGTATGGGCTCACAATCTGTCAGAGACCAGACACCAATTCATTGATCAACGGGCTCACACTATCCTTAGCTTAAAAGGCTTCAGAGTAATGTGGCAAGTTTATTAGGGGTGAGCATCAATATTTATACACAGAAGTAAACAAAGTGATTAACAGATCATAATGGTCACGCATATTATAATCAATCAAGATTCTACAGGATAAAACAGGTTAAAATATAGATTCAAAAAGACAAAAGGGGAGATGGCTACTTAAGGGGAGGGGGGTGTCATGAGTAGTTCGCAGGTCAGAGCTTTGATTAAAAGTTCAGACAGAGACATCAAGTCTGGGTTAAGTTTAAGCTCATCAAAAGTTCAGACTCAACAATGACACTAGGGCTGTTTTAAAAAGAAGATTACCAAGATTGTTACAATGGCAAAGTGTATCATTCTTCAGACCCACAGGTGGTCCATATGTTACATTACACATTTTGGGGTGATTTTCAAGACCAACCCACCCCTTGTAACACTGAAACAAACATGCAAAATTAAGGACCTCCTCCCAGCCCCTAATATATTATGTAATTTGTGGACAGCCCTCCACCCCGCTGCTTTGTACTTTAAGCCAGCTGGACAGTTTTGCTCAAATAAAAACAAATCCCCAGGCAAAGACCTGGAATATTTTATCCTGTAAGGTGAAAGTTTAACAGCAAGCAAATGAAAGAGACCCTTTGAAATGAAAACACTTTTGCAACCGTAACTGCTGGGGTTGCTAGACACATCAGTTATAGACCAGCTCTCTGCTGTGTCTTCCTGGTCATGATGGTTAATTCTTTTGTCCCATCCTCCATTTCTCTATTCAGCTCACTCCCCTGTCCCTGACGATGTTCTTGTTGCATGCTGTGCCTTGCCCCCTGCTAACCTCCCCATCTCACCCTCTACCCCCCAAAAATGGAAGTGCACACAGACACTGTACACCACTTCAGTTTTCTCAGTCTCTTTCCAACCAACACAGAACCTTTTGGGTTCCAACTTTCCATCCCTTTCCCTGGTAAATAAGTGTGGCCCAGAACATCCCAGTCAACTTCTACCAGCTGGTAGAAGTTTTTATTACAAATGTAGCTCATCTCCTGGTTACTGAATTGTTTGTGAACTGGTCCCGATTTCTGCAAATATTCAGTGATTGCAGCATAGTTTAAAGGTTTTTTCCAACCTATTAGCTGATTCCCTGGTCTATGATGGGGACATATATTGCCTTTTGTCTAAAAGACCCATTCCCCATCTCTCCACCCCTTGAACTTAGACTAGATTTGTTTTGTTAAGATAAAAAAGCAGCAAACAGATTCTTCCATTATCCCTGATAAAATACAACTCATTAGGCACGTAACCCACATGAATCTGCACACTGTACTGACCCACAACTGCATACGATACCACACTGACTATACCCAGGGTGAGCAAAGATTAGAATTCAGGCTTCACATATTCAGACCTTTACCCAATAAATGCATGGGGCATTATCGTTTAGCCAGCCAGTTCACAATGGTTGAAATTCATCCCATACAGAAGGCCAGAACAAGGGTTATCAACCATTTAAATCCCAATTAAGCTCTCAAAATACTGTACTTACATGGAACTTATGTATTGCCTAAGCCTTGTGCTAACCCTCTACCAAGGAGTGAATTTTGCCCTCCAGGTGCAGACAGCTGATTCAAGTCTGTCCACCTATACAAGCAGCATTGCATGAGTGTTCTTTGCCTCACTCCTTTTCCCATTGCTAGCCAGCCATCTCAAACATGAGACTACTCATGCCAGTTTGCTTGCAGGTTCCATTGTTAGGTCAGTCTTCGGTCTCCTTCCCAGCCTCTCCGGCTGCTCTGTGGTCTGCTAAATGGAATGTACGTCACATGCACAATAGAATGAAGCCTGTAATTAAAGTGACCTTCAAAGGGGAAAAAAATGTGTCCTCTTGATTCTTTACACTGGATTAGAAAAGCCTTGAGTGCAATCTTGTCCCCACTGAAGTCAATAGGGATTTGGCCATTGATGTAGGACCAGGATTTCACCCTCTTTTTATTTAAGGATTGTGGTGGGGTTAACTTTGTTTCTTACATTACAGATTCAGGTGCTGTGACCCTCCGATTTTCCTATGGCTGAGGGAGGAGAGAGGCAGACTGGCTCCGTGGTTAGGGCCTAGGTTCAATTCTCCGCTCCAGATTTCCTGTATGACCTTGGGCAAGTCACTTAGGGTACGTCTATACTTACCTCCTGGTTCGGCGGTAAGCAATCGATCTTCTGGAATCAATTTATCGCGTCTTGTCTAGACACTATAAATCGATCCCGGAAGTGCTCACCATCGACACTGGTACTCCTGCTCCGCGAGAGGAGTACGCGGAGTCAACGGGGGAGCCTGCCTGCCGCGTGTGGACCCGCGGTAAGTACTTTGTAGTTCGAACTACACGTAGCTGAAGTTGCGTATCTTAGTTCGAACTGGGGGGTTAGTGTGGACCAGCCCTTAGTCTCTCTGACTCAGATCCTCATAGGTATTTGGGCACCTAATTCCCAGTGGAAAGCAACAGGTGGTAGGCACCTAAAATGATGGATTTCAAGATCAGGGCCCCTGGTCCCTTCTGCACTATCCTACCACACAGAGGGGTGCTTTTAATGCAAACAGCTACCCAAATTTAGGGTCCTGTGGATTGTTCCAGCTAGAGGGAAAAATTGAAGATGAAGTCTGGTATCTTTGATCCAATTTTGTTTGTTTACTAGGGCAGCTCTCACCTTGGGACCCTGCAGGTGAAAACTCACCCCACTGCAAGTCTCCCCTGGTCTGTTTCTGAGGGGAGAGTAGCAGCACTGGGGCCCTCCAGCCAAAGCCCCCCTTTCAGGGCATTGACATTCAAAGGTACTAAGGAACAAAAACAAACCACGGTCATCCCACAGACCTTCACAAGGACCTCACCCTTCTATTCAGGGCTTGTTTCCAAAACAGTCTGTGCTTCTACCAATTCCCTTCCCAGGTTCTGGTCATCCCTTCCAGGAGGCTTGAGCCAGCTGACAAGCAAGTGCCATCTCCAGGCTAGAAGTAGGCATTTCTTCCCCAAGAAATAGCACTCTACCTGCCTTCTTGGTCAGCACTCAAAGAAGAGTGGGCCCTCTCCTTTTATCTCCCCTCTCCATGCCTGACATTGGCTGCAGGTGCAGTGGGGCGGGGCCAATTGTGTGACAGGTCCACATGTTTTCCCTAACCCTTTGATTGCCAATGGGGAGCCA